AAAAAAAAAAAAAAAAAAAAAAAAAAAAAAAAAAAAAGAAAAAAAAAAAAAAAGCCCCTCAGGACGACCCTCTACCCGCCTGGGCGTCGTTTCTGGACGGGCTGGTGGGGATACGCGAAGCGTCTAGAATTGTATATTTGTGCAATGCCTTTTTTCCGATCCATCGCTCGGACGTCTAATTCCCGTGCGTTTGTCGGTTTCGTGCGCTTACTTGTTTCGTGAGGCGAGACACGATGCTTCTCGATGGCCCTCGATGACAGACGCTGCGCACGCCCCAGCGATGCCAAGGGCCATGCTTTCTATTTATCCTCGAGCCTCGTGCAACGGTACACCAGGCTCGAGGAGCCGCTACCGAGCAACTCATGGATGTCGTACTGCCGGGACAGCACCGAGCAGAACCGCGCGGACATCCGGAGGCCCTCGCAGAAGAAAAACAAATGCCATATTAAACATAAACTTTTGGCGCTCCGCGCGGATGTCTTGGATCTGCGCCGGGGCCCCCTCCCTTGCGCGCGGGGCGCGCCAGGGGCGGCGCCAGAGGCGCCGCCAAGGTGGCCCAGCTCGGATCCAAGAAATCTCCGCGGAGCGCCAAACATTTATGTTCGTGTCGTTTCTTTTTCTTCTTCGACATCGGGGGTCTTTCGTAATGGGGTCGCAAAGACAAAATGCAACAGTTCATCCTATGACGCATGGCGCGTGGCGGCCAAGTGCTGACATTGTACGACGTGCGCACCCCGCACGAACGATTGCACGAGCTGTTGCGCACATTTTCGGGACCCCCTTGGCAAAAGGACTCACTCGCCCGAATCCAGCCTCGGGGGACAGCGACTCGCTCTGGCTGGGCGTCGTGGGGCTCCCTGGGCCCGAGCTGTCGCCCGCCCCGGCGCTGGCGCCGCCGCCCGGCGCGGCCGGGAGCGCGTCGCAAAGCCGCCGCAACGCGCCCAGTTCCTCCCGCGAGGCCCTGCCACCGATGTACCTGCGGGGGATGTCCTCCTCCTCGTCCTCCTCCGTCCCTCCCTCCCTCCCTCCCTACTCCTCTAGGGCTCCCAACTTCGCGCTTCGCGCTCCGCGAAGCGCGAAGCGCGAATAACTTCGCGCCCTCGCGCCGCCCCCCCAAAGGGAGAATAGGAGGACGAGGAGGAGGGGGAGAAGGAACGAGGACCGCGAAGCGCGAAGCGCGAATAACTTCGCGCCCTCGTGGGAGCCCTTGACTCCTCCGAGGATGGGGAGGACGAAAAGGTGGAGCTGCGGGTCGAAGCGCCCGCCCTGCCTTCCCCACACCCCCAGCCCCTACGCTCTAACAACCGCACGCCAACCCCGCCCCCTCCCTGGCCCTCAGAGGTAGAAGTATGAGAAGAAGCTGTGAAAATAAAGGTCGGCAAGGCCGAAGAAGTCGGGAAGGAAATGTCATGCTCGTGGGTTAGCCGAAGTCGGAGACGTCGGGGGGGTAGGTGAGGTCGCAGAAGTCGAGGAAGAAGCCAGAAAAGTCGGAGGGGTCGGAGTGGGTGGCGGTGTTGTGACGGCTTCGGGCGCGTAGGCAACGCGTGCGGCCGCCCAGGCCTGGGTTGGTTCTGGCGGGTGGTTCTGGCGAGGATGGCGATCGCCAGTGGTTAGGGGCGTAGTTAGTTGACGTAGTCGTTGAGCTTGCCGAGTAACCTGGAGGTGGAGTCGTTGGCCGAAGTGATCTCCTTCTGGATGTCGACGACCGTGTTGTAGCTGACCTGTGGCTCCTCCACCATCGTGGTGAGGGTGTCGAGCTTCTCCTGGATGTCGTGGTAGTGGGAGCGGTACTCGGTGATGATGTCTGCGGTCAGGACTTGTCTGCTGCTTCGCATGTTGTTGGATCGAGCGATGGCACCGCGTGCCCAGAGCTCGTTCTTGCTGTTGAACAAAAAACATGTCGCGTATTGTGACCTCGTCGCCCTCGTTGACAGTGATGGTACCGTGGGCGATGGAGTCCTCAAACTTGGGTCGGTACGAGTAGCGCATGGTGGCTCCCATAGGGACGGTGATTGTGTCGGGGTTTACCTTTTCTTGGGTGGTCGTCGTAACGGGGAACCATCCCGTGGGCTTCTGAGGCCCCACTTGGATGGGGGGTGGTTGGTTGTCGTTTGCGATGGGAGCGTTGGTGTTTGGCGTCGGGTCGCAGGTGCTGGATGCGGTAGTGCGCGTGTGCTGTTCTCCTGCAGCGAGTACCTCCTGCTGTGTGATCGTGTCGTCGTATTCGGTCTTGTCCTTTGGTTGCTGCAGTGTCTTCCTTGACGGTCAGCGGGGTGGGTGGGGCATTCAATCCGCCGACCCCTTGTGGGTCTCTAGGCGTGTGAGATTATCCCCCCCCATAATCCCCCCCCAAGGACCCCAAACTGGCAATTCGACCTCCCCCTCCCCTCGCCCGGCCGGACCCCCGACCGAACGCGCCACGGGGGAGCGGAGGGCTCCAAAACTGGCCAAGAAGGCGCACCAAAACGCTCCCCAGACGGTCCCAGGGGGCCACGAATCGCCGAAATATCGCCCTGGACGCCCACGATGGCCTCCAGGCGGCCTCCGAAGCTGCCAAGGCACCCAAAAGGCTCCCAAGATGCGCCCAACGAGGGTCCCAAGAAACAAACATCTCCCCATCCCCTTCGAAAAACAAGCATTTTTCGCATGCTCGCCTATTCGGTTTCCACAACGTCCCAGACGGGCAAAGAAACATTCAATATCGCCCCCAGACGGCCAAAGGGGCCCCCAAGAAGGGTCGAAGAGGGTCCAACAACAGCCCCCGAAGCCCCCAAGACAGCCCAAGAGGGCCCCCAGACGGCTTGAAGACGGAGCCCAGAGGGCACCTTTTCGAGCCTTCGGCCCCAAGACGTCCCCAGCCTGCCCCAAGAACAGCCCAAGAGGCCATGAGGGACCCCCAAGAGAACCTCAAAGGCCTCCAAGAAGCCCGAGGAGCCCCCAAGATGATCCAAAACTTGGCCCAAGATGCCTCGAGGCGGCCAGATATGGCCTTCAGACAAGCCAAGATGCCACCAAAGGCCACAAAAGAGCAGCAAAAAGTACGATAACAACAACGAAGCAACAAGAACAAAAGGAAACAAAAAAAAAAGGCAAAAAACAAAAAAGAAAAAAAAGCGAAAAAAAAACAACGAAAAAAAAAAAAAAACAAAAAAAAAAAAAATAAAAAAAAACGAAAATCAAGAAAAAAAAAAAAAAAAAAAAAAAAAAAAAAAAAAAACAGAATCAAAAAAAACAAAAAAAAAGAAGAAAAACAAAAAAAAAAACGAAAAACGGAAAAAAAAAAAAACAAAGCGCAACAAGAACGATGTCGAGCGCCGTGTCATGATTCGGACAAGCCCCGTGAAATGCAGTTCTGGAGGAGCAGTAGTTTATATGGGGATCGGCGGATGTGGCGTAAGCCTATATAATCTCACCGGCTTGGGCCCTGGGTTTGACACGCTTCGAGGGGAGGCGTGGTGAGCTGGGTTGAAAGTCGCCTGCGAGGGAGTGGTTGCTGGCATTGTGCTGGTATTCGTACTGCCACTGCTGGTAGCATGGCAGTGTGAGTCATGTGGGCTGTGTTGTCGGTTGCGGTCATCAGTGTAGTTTGCTCTTTGTGGGTGCTTTCTTCCTGTGAGGTCACCCCCAGCGTCGGTAGTATCTCGATGTGGATATATCGCTCGAAGACGCTGTGGTCATCGCATGGTGCCAAAATTGGTGTCGAGCTGCGTATCTGTTTGATGCGATGGAGAGTGTGGCGTGCGCGTGGAGGGTGTGCCCCACCCCCTCTCGCGTACAGGTGCGACCACGAGCAGGTTGTTGCCGAAGATGAGAAAGGGCTTGGTGTCCTGGTTCACCTTGATGTGGGAGAAGAACATGCCAGCGGAGTGCTCGCTGTACCATAGATGTGCTCGGTCGACCCATTCGTGAGCGTCTGGTTCCCGTTGGTAGTCGGCCCGCATCTGGTCGAGTAGGTCGTGGATGGTGAGTGTCATGGCGTTGTCGACCTGCTCGCGTTTGACTGGGTGCTCTGGTACAGGAGGGTGGTTATTGAGGGATGGAGGGTACATCGGCCTAAGGTTGTGGTAGAAGCAGCCGTCCTTGTGAATGCTGGCCTCGATGTTATGGTCGGTGGGCTGCCGAGTGCAGCATGGTTCGTAGTTGGAGTCGCCTGGAAACTTCCACTGGATGGTGTCTGTCTCCTTGTTGTGGTAGTAGGCGAGGCTTCTGGTTACGTTAGCCAACCTGGTGGCAATCTACCGTGGTGAGATGGGTCAGGTCGGAGAGTTTCGCTTTGCTTGTACGTTGGTGAGGCGCGGTCTTGGTCTGACTGTCTATGAGTTGTGAGACGATCGGCATCGGGATTGGTATGGTCTGTTGGACCTGTGGGGTGGATCTTCGCTGAATGATCTGCAGGTCGGTGTTTGTGGGAGTAGTGCGGGCTGGCCGTTGTACTTGTCGTGGTCGAGCCTCTGGAAAAACCGTACGCCACCCAGGGAAGTAGTTCTGGGTCCAGTTGATAGGCTGAAAGCGTGCGTTGCGTAGTTTGTGGCAGTAGTGGAGCAGGTGTCGTGTGCTGTGGCCCTCCTCGTCATCGATGGGGTACTGCCTTGCTTTGTGGGCCTCGAGTTCGGATAGCTTGTCGATGTCGGTGACCTTTATCTGCATGGTGCCGCAAAATATGATCTGGGCAGGTTGCTTGCACTCTGGTGCTTCGTAGTCAGGACGCTGTCTTATCTCAGTAGGTGCATATCCGTCGGGGGTGAACTCGACTTGGTGGACGATGATCTCCCGCTTGGTGGCCTCAGTGTGGACGTTGGTGGTTCCGTCTGTTCTTGTTGTATATGTCTCTGGAGTAGTAGTGATCTCCTGCAGCACCTGCGCCTCCTCCTCCTCCTCCTCCTCCTCCTTCTCCTCCTCCTCCCACCTCCTCGTCCTCCTCCTCCCCCTCCTCCCTCCTCCCTCCGCCGGGAGATCTTACAAGAAGAATCAGCGCCATGAACATAACCTTGTGGCGCTCCGCGTGGATTTCTGGATTTCCTGGATCCGCGCTGGGGCCCCTCCCTGGCGCGCGGAGCTTGCCAGGGGTGGCGCCCGAGGCGCCGCCCAGTGGGGCCCAGCGCGGATCCAAGAAATCCGTTGGGAGCGCCCAAAGTATGTTGAAGGGGCCCTGGGACACACAAATAAATACACACAAATAACAAGATTCCCCATCTTTTCTTGTATTTTCTGGGTGTTTTGTCTTCCCCCCTTACCATATGTTCCCATGTTTTCTAAGGAATCGACGATTACTTGTGTCTGTGTGTTTTTCCCTCCTGATATGTTCACGGCATTTTTCTCCTTCGAGATCTCCTCGCGTCGAGCCGTGCAAAAATCACTTCTTTGGGCGTCTTCGGCCTCTGGGGGCCCTTGCGGAGACCCAGGGGGTGAGATCCGAACCCTGGGGGAAGTGGTCCAGACCAATGGGGGACCACGGTACGAAAAAATGGACATGTCGTACCTGCTAGGACTCATCCTCGACGCTTCCCCAGGGCAGCCGAAGGCACATCTCCTAAGGACGCCCCCATCGGACCGCCCGAGCGTACCTCCCAGGACCCTTCCTTCAGACGCCGAATCGGCGACACCTGCGATGCATCGGCGCCTTCGGCGTGGAGGAAATCGGGCTGCATATCGAGCCGCGTCGCCGATGCGTCGGCGATGCGGCGCGATGCCCCGACCCCACTAGGTGGCAACACACGAACCCCCACCCCGCCAACCATCGATTCTCCTGAATCGATGGGAGGCGGGAGCATGATTCCGAGCCCTACAGTGGAGGCCCGACCACAAGAAACCTTTCACAAGAAACCCGCCCCTGAGACCCCATGACGTCCATTGATTTTTGGTGTGGGAACGTCACGCATTCTGTAGCAAAACCATCGAGACCCAAGAAACCCAGGGCACCCTGGAGGCAAGCAGAGTACTTCTTGGCATGGGCCTCCACTATACCTCCGCCGCCCGTCGAGTTGCCTGAGTCGCTTATCGGCGAGGGCAAGGTTCGGATTCCGCCGCCGTGAAGGGGCCCTGGGACACACAAATCCGCCGACCCTGTCGGCGTGTGTGAGGGGCTTTTTCCGTTCGAGCCGTCATCTCCGTCATTCTTTGTACTCGTCGTCTCTGTCCTTCCCTTTCCCTGGGAGACCTCTTCCCCTGGGCTCCAGCCAAGCCGACCTTGAGCAACCTCGTAATTGAGTCGAAGGGAAGCCCCTTCCCTTTGATCCCTCCCCGGAGACCTCTTCCCCTGGGCTCCAGCCAAGCCGACCTTGAGCAACCTCGTAATTGAGTCGAAGGGAAGCCCCTTCCCTTTGATCCCTCCCCCGCCGGGAAGGGGGGGGGGTAGCGACCCCCCCCCCGGGTCAGATACGACGCCCCCCCCTGGGACTCCTCTTCCCCTGGGCTCCAGCCAAGCCGACCTTGAGCAACCTCGTAATTGAGTCGAAGGGAAGCCCCTTCCCTTTGATCCCTCCCCCGCCGGGAGGGGGGGGGGGTAGCGACCCCCCCCCCCCGGGTCAGATACGACGCCCCCCCCTGGGACTCCTCTTCCCCTGGGCTCCAGCCAAGCCGACCTTGAGCAACCTCGTAATTGAGTCGAAGGGAAGCCCCTTCCCTTTCATCCCTCCCCCGCCGGGAGGGGGGGGGGTAGCGACCCCCGGGTCGATACGGGATCGCCCCCCCCTGGTACTCCTCTTCCTGGGCTCCAGCCAAGCCGACCTTGAGCAACCTCGTATTGAGTCGAAAGGGAGCCCCTTCCCTTTGATCCCTCCCCATCCCTCCCCTCGCCGGAGGGGGGGGTGGGTAAGCGACCCCCCCCCGGGTCAGATACACTCCCCCCCCTGGGACTCTTCTTCCCCTGGCTCCATCCAAGCCGACACCTTTGAGCAACCTCGTACTTTAGTCGAAGGGAAGCCCTTCCCTTTGATCCCTCCCTCCCTCCCCCGCCGTGAGGGGGGAGGGAGTAGCTACCTCCCCCCCCCGGGTCAGATACGACGCCCCCCCCTGGGACTCCTCTTCCCCTGGGCTCCAGCCAAGCCGACCTTGAGCAACCTCGTAATTGAGTCGAAGGGAAGCCCCTTCCCTTTCATTCCTCCCCCGCCGGGAGGGGGGGGGGGTAGCGGGGGGGGTAGCGACCCTCCCCCCGAGTCAGATACGACGCCCCCCCCCCGTACCGACCTTGAGCAACGTCGTCATTGAGTCGAAGGGAAGCCCCTTCCCTTTCCCTTCCCCGACGGGGGTGGGAGAGGAGGTCCCGGGGGGGGTCCCGGGGGAGTCCCGGGGAAGTCCCGGGTCAGATACGACACCTCCCTCCCCCACCTTCTCGTCCTTCTCCCCGTTCCCCCAAACCATCCCACAGCCCGTGCCTCTTGCTGCGCATTGCGAACAGGGTCGGCGGCACCGGCCGTCAGGCCTTCGCAATAAATATACACTTATCACAGGATTCCCCGTCTTGTCCCATACTTTCAGGGTTTTCGTCTTCCCCCCCCACTTCCCATATGTTCCCATATTTTCTGGGGAATCGACTATTAATTGTGTCTGTGTGTTTTTGTTCCCTCCTGACGCCGGCTCGTCTGCTCGGCTCCATATCTGGGAGGCCCGGCCCAGGGGTGGGGCACCTGTTCCGCCTGCTCGAGGGCTGCAGCGTCAGGTCCGACGGCAACGGCGTCAGGTCCTGGGAAGGCTACAGATTGCACCGATGTTGCGGCTCCCCGGGGCCCCCTCCTGAGCTGGAGTTTTGCTGCTCCCATCGTACTTAATGACCACATCCCAAAAATAATTTCGAGCACCCGGAAGAGTGTCGAAAAAGTGTCGAGACAGTCTCAAAACAGTGTCGAAACAATGTCGAACGAAAGTCTCCAAGGGCCCGACACGTGAAAATCCTCTAGTTTCGGTACTTTCTTGGTGCTCGAAATTCAATCTGGTGATCAAGGTCACTGTAGGTTGGAGCATCATGAAGCTGGAGGAGGAAACAACTGCATAATCACGAACTGTCGTAGCTCCGCCCCGGGAACGTGCGGGTCTGCCATCGGGAGCCTATCGCCGACCTTCGGGGAATGAACAATAAGATTGTCATAAACGTTTGAAGCTCCGCGCGGACTTCTAGGTTCTAGGGTCGGCGTTGGACCCCCCTCCCTGGCGCGCTCCGCGCACCAGGGGCGGCGCCGGAGGCGCCGCTGGGAGGCCCAGCGCAGATCCAAGAAAGCAGGGCGGAGGTCCAACAGTTGCAGCCTCTTCGTCGACGAGCGCACTCTGACCAAGGCGAGGCTGGCCGTGGCGGCGAGGGTCCTCCAGGACAAGCACGGCAGTACAACAAGATCCGGTGTCCTGATGTGCTCAATACCACGCAAGCCTCGACCCACTCCCGGGGACCGGCTTTATTGGATGCTCGTTCTGGGGACCTTCCTGGAGCCACTCGCTCCACTCGTGCGTCGAAGCTGCGTCGAACGTCAGTCGATTTGGGTCGATCCTGAGTCGAACCTGAGTCGAACCTTAGTCGAACCTGAGTCGAACTTGAGTCGAACTTGAGTCGAACTTGAGTCGAACTGGGGTCGAACAGATCCGTTAGGTGGGCTCCAGGAAGGTCCCCGAAACGAGCATCGAAGCTTTACGTCCTGAGTCGTCCCTCTGACGTCCCGGGGCTGGCCGAGGGTCCCTGGAGGCCGAAAACTGCTGAACAACCACCGTCTGGATTCTTTCAGCTCGTGTGATCTCTGGGAATGTCTCCCTCCTCCTCCTCCTCCTCCTCCATCCGCCTCCCTCCTCCCTCCTCCCTCCTCCCTCCTCCCTCCTCCCTCCTCCCTCCTCCCCCTCCTCCTCCTCCCTCCCTCCTCCCTCCTCCCTCCTCCCTCCTCCCTCCTCCCTCCTCCCCCTCCTCCCCCTCCCTCCTCCCTCCTCCCTCCTCCCCCTCCTCCGACACCTCCTTCGCCGAGGTCCGAGTCGGAGTCCCGGCGCGGCGGCGAGCTGGCCCCCTCGAAGGCCCGGGCCCGCGGGTCGTCCCCGGAGGCGCCGGCGCACCCGCTGAGGGGGGCGGTGGACGGCGTGGCCACGTCCGCCGACGTGCGGCGCGTGCCGAGCGGGCCAGCGGTGGATGGCGTGGGCACGTCCTGGGGGGAGGAGCGCTCGCCATCGCTCGGACCTGTGTTTTTGTTCGGTTTCATGCGTGGTTTTTTCGCCAAATGATCAAGGATGCTCCTCGATGGTTCTCGCCGAGAAAAAATGCACACGTTCGAGCGATGGCAGGAGCGAGCGCGCTTCACGGGCGCTTGCCTTGGGAACACTCGGCGGCGCGATTCGAACATGGGGGTTCGCCCCCCCCCCCCCCAACACTCCGCGCCGTCGATCACTGCAGGGGACTCCCCTCCCCCCCCCTCCCGAACACCCCCTCCCCTCCAATGAGTGATGGGTTCAAGTTCAACGCACCCCCCCTCGGCGCCGGCGCCGGCGCCGGCGCTGGCCGCCAGCAGCGACGGCGGGGACGCAGCGACGATGACCAGAGGCAGCCCAAGGGGGGGGAGGCGGGGAGGTTCAAACCCCCGCCCCCCTGGCGCCGGCGCCCAAGGATGCCCCCTACCCCATTCCCCCTCCTGAAAAGCGTTCCTCGATCATCGATCCTCTTCCTTGATGGGCCTGTTTTCCACCACCACCACCACCAGAAGTTGGAGGGGGAGGGGGTCCTCCTCGTCCTCGTCCTCGTCCTCGTCCTCCTCCTCCTCGTCCTCGTCCTCCTCCTCCTCCTCCTCCTCCTTCTCCTCCTCATCCTTCCCCCCTCCAACTGATGGTTTATGGTAGGGGTGGTGGAAAACAGGCCCATCAATCCTCCCCCCGATCCTCGACGCCCCCAAGGCATTATCCGTGGCACCCCGAAACTGCACGGCCTCCCGATTCTCGGCCCGGGCGCCACGCACGGCAAGTTTCGCTCCGTGGCGGCGGCGCTGGCTTTCTCGACACCGCGTGGATCGAAGTCAACCTGTCCAAGGAGCCCACAACGGACGTACATGAACACGGCCCCAAAATCCGCGAGACTGGCCGCGTGATACGAACGTTCGCGCCATGCGTACTCTCGGAACCTACGTGGATTCATCCACGTGTACGTCCTTCTTTCGCTCCTGACTGTCGGGGATCTTCTGACCCGGGTCAATCCAGACGCGGATCGGTCAGGCCTTGCAGAATCCTGCCAGATCCTGCACCCAGACCCGGGTCAGTGCGAAGGATCCTGCAGGATTCTGCACCCAGACCTGGGTCGGTGCGACCCTGGGACTGCGGGATCCTGCAAGATCGGGCGCTCTGGCTGACCCCTGTTTGAACTGACCCCCGTCTCAAGGCTCCCGGACCTGTAGGGCGTTGCGTAATAGGGGGGTCATAAATGGGGGGGTGGCGAGGGTGGTCCGAAAAGGTACCCAAACGGTGCCTAAACGAGCCCCCTGGGGGTCCGGAGGGGCTCGAAAGGGGCACGAAAGGGGACCGTTTCTGACCCCCCCATGTATGACCCCCCCATTAAGCCACGCCCAAACCTGGAACGATCGTGGCCCTCCGGTAGCGCAGACCGCCCGATTTCAGCCGATCCTGGGCCGCTGGCGGCCTCCTCCTCCTCCTCCTCCTCCTCCTCCTCCTCCTCCTCCGCCCGCGCTGGGGGAGCCGCCGCGTCGACGCAACGCGAACCCACCGAAACCGCTCGCCATTGGCCCCCAGACCCTCATCCTGGACCGACGCCTGCGGAACACAGACTAAGAGCATGTTTGAGCACCTCCAGAAGAACAAAAAAAAACAGCAGAAGCATAAGCTTTTGGCGCTCCGCGCGGAATTCTTGGATCCGCGCCGGACCCCCCTCCCTGGCGCGCGGAGCGCGCCAGGGGCGGCGCCAGAGGCGCCGCCAGGGGGCCCCAGCGCGGATCCCAGAGATCCGCGCGGAGCGCCACAAGTTCATCTTTATGTGTTTTTGTTCTGTTTCGACCCTCCTCCAACGCGGCGCGAGCCTAGTGTACACCGATCCCGCGCCCAAAGGATGGCCTTGACAGCACCAGTGATGCCGGGGCGTGTCTGCAGTTCTGAGGCGTCCCCCGGGCGGTCCGCCGTCCAGGCGGCGCACGGCTTGGCCGCGAGGGGCTGCCTCGGGGAGGGCAGGTGCCAGAGCTCCGGCGACTGGCAGCAGGCACGCAGCGCCAGCACAAGCGTGTCTTTGCAACAGAGCGGCGGGAAGAAAGGGACCTTGCGCACCAAGACGGGGCAACCTCGCGCGGAGGCTTACGCGAGCTGCCAGCACGACACACCTGGTGCAAGCGAAGGGGCGCCTACGTGCGGCCATACGCTTACGCACGAACCTCCGCGAAGTGGACTCTCACGCTTGGCTACGTCGATGAATTCTCAACCGCCGTACCACCGCATCTGGGCCAGGCCGACCAACGAGACCGTGCGGGGCAAGAACGCGGTTCTTTTTGACGAAAGTCCATCAGAACCCATCTCCTCCTCCCCTCGACGCACCCTCCCCTCCTCGTTTCTCCCCCCTCCTCCTCCTCCTCCTCCTCCTCCTCCTCCTCCTCCTCCTCCTCCTCCTCCTCCTCCCTCCTCCTCCCTCCTCCTCCCTCCTCCTCCCTCCTCCTCCCTCCATTCCTCCCATCCTCCCCCCTCTCCTCCTCCTCCTCCTCCTCCTCCTCCTCCTCCTCCTCCTCCTCCTCCTCCTCCTCCTCCTCCCTCTCCCTCCTCCCTCCTCCCTCCTCCCTCCTCACTCCTCCCTTCCTCCCTCCTCCCTCCTCCTCCTCCCTCCTTCCCTCCTCCCGCCTCCCGCCTCCCTCCTTCCCCTCCTCCCTCCTCCTCCTCCCTACTCCCTCCTCCCTCCCCCTTCCTGCTCCTCCTCCCCCCACCTCCTACCATCCTACCTCCCCCTCCTTCCTCCTCCCCTCCTCCCCCGCCCTCCTACCCTCCTCCTCCTCCCTCCTCCGTCCTCCATCCCTCCCCTGCCTCCCTCCTCCCTCCTCCCTCCTCCTCCTCCCTCCTCCCTCCTCCTCCTCCCTCCCCCTCCTCCTCCTCCCTCCGCACCTCTCCCTCCTCCTCCTCCCCCTCTCCCTCCTCCCCTCCTCCCTCCTCCCTCCTCCACTCCTCCCTCCTCCTCCTCCTCCTCCTCCTCCTCCTCCTCCTCCTCCTCCTCCTCCTCCTCCTCCTCCTCCTCCTCCTCCTCCTCCTCCTCCTCCTCTCGACGCCCGCCGTCCCAAGGGGTGGACAGATCTCCTGGGGGTCGGCGGCTGCAAAAACAGAGCGGGCCGTCGGAGGAGCTGCGAGGCGCGCCGGCCCGCCAGGCAGCCACACGACCTCCGTGCGTCGATGCCCGTTGCCACGACAGTGAGGGTGTGCATGTTTTGCTTTAGCTCTTCGCGGACCACGGCGGGCCCTTGCAATCAGTTCGACCTGCAAACGCAGGCGGGACCCCCAGGAGCAAGTCACTCAAAACTCCGGCTCGTCCTCCTGGGGTCCCCCGTCCCCGCGCGCCGCCGCCGCGCGCTCGGCGCGGGCCTCTCGCCCTCGCGCCCGCGCAGCCTCCACGCTCGCGAAGCCGTGAGGGTATGCACTGGGTAAAGAGCCACTGGGTAAGGAACCCAAGGTCTGGAGGCCCGTGGAACACCAGTTCAGGCTCGGCCGGGGGTATCAGCGCCGTCCTCATCAGAGAAGGTACCCTTTAGGGTCCGAAGCCTACTTTTAGGTCAGGCATGTCCTCCTATAAGCGGAGTTTGGAAGACAAATGGAACATAGACACAAACTACTCAAACAATGACCAAACATAGTCGAAACATCGGTATCATACTATCCTTTGTCTGTTCTTGATGATTCCGCCTGTAGAGGGACATGCCCGACTTGAGCCCACTTGGCACGTCCCTGCAGGCACGCCCCCCACTGCACTTGTATGTGAATGGTGTTCCTTCTCTTCTGCCAGAGGGGAAGGCAAGCCCAGCCAACGCGCGGCGAGGGACCGGCCCTGGGGAGGGGGTCGAAGACGTGAGGGCCACCGCCGTGAATCAGAAAAACATGGCAGAGGCCTGGGAGCCCCGGCCCAAGCCCCAACAGAGCCTCAGAGGCTCCCCAAGGGAGCCCCAAGAAAGGCTCCAGAGCGTCAGCGTCGTCGTCGTCGCCGCTGCCGCCGCCGCCGTCGTCGCCGTCCCCTGGCAGGGTCGGCGCAACGGCCGCTAGGCCTTCCCAATGTGGCAGAGGTCTGGGATGCCTGCGAGTCTGACCACGAGCACAAAGGAGGCGTCGCGCGTTCTCCACACTGGCTCCAGCAGTGCTGCTTGTGAGGTGTAAAAAGTTTAGCACAGCAGCGCTCGATGCTGAGCCGCGCGTTGACTCGATCGGACTGCCTTCCAGGATCTCACCGATCAAGTTTACGCAGGAGAGCCCAGAATCGAATCGATAAGTCGGATCAGCGATCGAAATGGGTCGGATCGGCAGGAATCGGCAGCCAAGTCGGGAGAAGTTGAATCGGCAGACATCGGCAGACTAGTAGGCCTCCGTTGAGGAATCGGCATCCAAATCGGAATCCCCAAGTCGAATCGAATCGGAATCGGAGGACATCGACATCGAATCGAATCGAATTTGAGGAATCGAAATGAGCCCTGTTTACGTAGGCCAAGCCTCAAACCATGGCTCAAGCCTCGAGGCTCGGGCCCCCGATCGAGCAGCCAGACCGAGTGCGCACGAGCTCCACAAGCCTGCGCATTGGTCTCGAGTCTCGACGCGCGCTGACGAGCCCGTGGCGCAGCCAGGAAGCAGTTCGAAGCACAACGACTCTCCTATCCCTCCTTGTTAGGGGAACGAAGAATTACATAAACAAAAACCTCGGGGGCCCGCGCGGATTTCTCGGATCGGCGCTGGGGCCCGCTGGCGGCGCCTCCGGCGCCGCCCCTGGCTCGCTCCGCGCGCCAGGAAGGGGGGGGGTCCAGCGCGGATCCAACAAATCCGCGCGGACCTCCGAGTTATTATGCTTATGTCACTGTTCGTCCCCCCATCCCCGTCCCTCTGCAGCCTCCCAATCCCACCAGCCCTTTGGGCGTGAGTGGTTTAGCGAGCTCTCTCTGTTCTCAACCCCCCTTCTTCCCCTTCGGGGAGGGGTTTACCCCTCCCCCTACCCCCTCCCCCTGGACCTGGAGAGGGGGTTTCGCGGGTCGTCAGGGGGGTCATTTTCGACTCCTGGGAGGGCTAAAAACGACACCCCTCACGAGGATTCTGGCCCCGACGGGGGGAACCAGAAAAAACCCTCTCCTCTGCTTTGAAGCCAAAATCATTAATTTTACTACGGTTTTGGCCTCATGTTGGCCTTCTGAGGGGGCAGCGCTCATTAAAGCTCCCCTCTTCTTTCAAGGCAAAATCATTGATTTTACCAAGGTGTTGGGCTCATGTTGCTCTTCCGAGGGGGCAGCGCTCATTAAAGCTCCCCTCTTCTTTGATCGATTCCCTCCAAGATGGCCCCAAGAAGCGCCCAGGAGGCACCAAGAGGCCCCAAGATGGCCCCAAGAGGCCCCCAGGAGGCCCCCAAGAGGCCTCCTGGAGGCCCCCAAGATGCCCCCAAGAGGCCCCAAGAGGCTCCCCCGAGGCACCCAAAACGCTCCTGGAAGCCCCTGGGGCCGCCAAGAGGCCCCCAAGACGCCCCAAACGGCCTCCAAGAGGCTCCCAAGAGGCCCGAAGAGGCTCCCCCAAGGCACCCAAGACGCTCCTCGAAGCCCCTGGGGCCGCCAAGAGGCCCCCAAGACGCCCCAAAAGGGGACGAGGTGCCCGAACGCCTCACGCCACGAGGAGCCCGAACGACTCACACCAGGACGAGGGGCCCGAACGACTCACACCACGAAGAGCCCGAACGACTCACACCAGAAGGAGGGGCCCGAACGACTCACACCAGGACGAGGCGCCCGAACGACTCACACCACGAGGAGCCCGAACGACTCACACCACGACGCGGGCCCCGAACGACTCACACCACGAGGAGCCCGAACGAGTCACACCAGGAGGAGGGGCCCGAACGACTCACACCAGGACGAGGGGCCCGAACAACTCACACCACGAGAAGCCCGAACGACTCACACCAGGACGAAGAGCCCGAACGACTCACACCACGAAGAGCCCGAACGACTCACACCAGGAAGAAGGGCCCGAACGACTCACACCAGGACGAGAAACCCCAAACGACTCAAACCACGAGGAGCGCTTTCTCTCCCTCCTCCTCCGCCTCATCCTTCTCCCGCTCCCCCCAGAAGGAGGATGTACACGGAGGCGGGAGGAAGGAGGAACAGGGGAGATATGCGGGGCCAAGCGGAAACACGCCTGAAAAACACAAATGTCGGCATGCTTCGCAAGAGTTGCTGTTGTGAGATGGGCTGGTGGGGATACGCGAAGCGAAAAGAATTTCCACTCCCGCTCCCTTCTTCCCGTCCTCTTGCCCTTCTCACCCTCCTCCCGCCGCTCCCCTTTTACCTCCCCTCCTCCCCCCTCGTCGTCCTCCCCCCTCGTCGTGCTCACCCTTCTCACCCTCCTCCCGCCGCCCCGATTCTACCTCCCCTCCTCCCCCCTCGCCGTGCTCCCCCCTGCCCCTCGGCACCTCAACAACTTCGACCGTCGGCCCTCGAACCTCGGACACCCTCACCCGAACCCTGGCGGCCGGGCTGTGTGTGTTCCCTTCGGTCGGGCGTGTCCCCCTACAGGGGCTTTTGGGCGAAACATAACAGGTACCAGCAACAAATTCAAATATAGTACAACAAATCGTCCCAAGACTATTCTGTTATACTATTTTTGAAGATTCCTCCTGCAGAGGGACAGGCCCGACTCAAGTGTTCCCCCCCCACGCTGCCTCTCGGGGACGTGGATGCTGAGGTTCGCCGGCCTCTGGCCCCGGACCTCGGGGCGGGCGAGAACAAAAAAAAAACACGCTGGGTCTTGAGAAGCCCCCTCCCCAATAGCTGGAAAACTAGTCCGGCGTCGTGCCCCCCTGGCACGTTGAGGCGTGCCAGAATGCCAAGTGCCGTCAGGTAGGGTTGTTGTTGTAATCGTCTCAGGGCCCCCCCCTCTCCTGGCCGCACCTCCCCGCGCACACATGGCGCATCCATGGGGCTCTCCAAGGCTTCCATGCCGGCCCAGGAGGCCCCCGAGACGGTCCAAGGGGGCCCCGAGTCGCCGAACGATCGCTCGAAGACGCCCAAAACGGCCACAAGATGGCGCGAGAGGCTTCCAAGGCGCCCCGACAGGCCTCCAAGAGATCTCCCACGAGGGCTCCCACAGGCAAAAACCATTGATTGTCCTTTCGTTTTTGAAGGATTTGGCGTTCTCGCCTTCTCGGCTTTCCGACGCCCCACGACGGCCCAAGAGGCCCCCAAGTCCACCCCGAAACTGCCCAAGAAAAACCATTGATTGTCCTTTCGTTTTTGAAGGATTTGGCGTTCTCGCCTTCTCGGCTTTCCGACGCCCCACGACGGCCCAAGAGGCCCCCAAGTCCACCCCGAAACTGCCCAAGAGGCCACCAAGAGAGCCCCAAGACGGCGTATGAGCGCCCAAGAAGGCCCAAGAGGCGCCCAAGACGGTCCAGGAGGACCCCAAGACGGCCCCAAAATGGGCCCCAAAGAGGGAACCCGAACCGAAAATCCGAGCCTTCCGCTCCAAGGGGACCCCAGGAGGCCCCAGGAGGCGCCCAGGAGGCCCCAAGCCGACCCCAAGATGCCCCCCAGACGCCCCTGTAAGCCCCTAAGAGCCCCCCAAGAGGCCCCACAACGGCAAACAAGAGGCCTCAACACTGCTTCCAAGAGGCCCCCGAGAGGCCTCCCACGAGATTCCAACGATTGTCCACTAGGCTTACAATCCACAACCCAGGCATGGTGGCGGGACTTGCCGTAGGCACCTGGGTTATCGGACTGGGGTCCCACCAACAGTGGAGAATAGTTATTTCTCTGCAGCGGCACCCGCCGCACAACAACGACGACGACGACGCCGACGCCGTCGCCTACGACGACGACGACGACGACGACGACGACGACGACGACGACGACGACTGCGACTACGAACGCGACACGACTACGGCTAGGACTACAAATTCGACTACCATCAATTAGCGACCACGACAAACAGTACGACTACGACTACGACTACGAGTACGACTACGAATATGACAACTACTACGACTACGACGACTACACCACTACTTACGCCTCAGGAGCGCTCTCACGGAAAATCCCGGCCCAGAAACGCGATCCTCAGAAACTCCACCATCAGACGCTCAATCATAATGCAAAGGGGACTTGCTCGAAATCCCATGAGCCCTCTAGGCGTGAGTGGCTTCGCAGGTCCTCTCTTCTCTCTTCCCTTCCTCCCCTTCGGGGACGGGCTCATCCATGTCCCCTATGAACAAACAACCAGGACCAATCAGCCGCCCCACCATCCCTGACCAAGACTATGTGAAATCCACGTTGGGGCACAATATTGGGTCACGATCGGGGGAAGCGGGGCGTGAGCACTGTGTATTGTTTTTGGGCAGGGGCGGCGGGGGTGCCCGCATATATTGCCTGCTGTGCGCAGGGCCAACACATCCCTGTCAAAAGACTACGCAACATGCACCTCGAGGCAAAGTCCGGATCTTGCCCAGGCACCCCGCGATCACTGCGAATTTGTTTATGACTCGGACGGCGGGGGTGCTGGCATATTGCCTGCCAGGTGCAGGCCCACCACCAGACTCTGTGATGGCCACCCCGCCGCGATCGCGCACTGGTTTTCGACAAAGGTGGTTGGGACCGACACGTTTCCCGATGTGTACTGCCACTTGCGCAGGCGCACTTGGCACACTCTGAGCGCGCCCCGAACGTGGCGCACCTGGCTCGGCTGGAGCATGAGGCACGCATGGCGCACGGGAATCACGCGGCGCATCTGGCGCACCAGGCGTGCCTGGCGCGCTTGGGCCGCAGGGGTGCCTGGCGCATCTGGCGCGCGTGGCGCGCCTGGCAAGCCTGGCGCACCTCTTCCCCGCGTTGCGCACATTGGGTCTGTTTTGGTTCCAAATGGGTGCCCATTCATAAACGACCGCTGAACATGCTGAGGCCCAGGTGCTACGTATGTGTTGGAAGGCGGGTGTGAATGAGCGAAACAGCTCGAGGGCGGGTGTCTTGATCACTGTTCCCTATTAAAAAAAAGCACCCCCTCCCCCAGGCGTCCGGGGGCCAACCCAGGTCCATGACGACACCCCCCACAATCCCTTGTAAAAAACAATCCAAACACACACTCTGCCTCCAAATTTGGAACATCCCCCCCCCCCCACCATCCCTGTCACAAAAACAAAACAGAGTACACTTGGCGGAGGCGGCGGCGGCTGCGGCGGCGGCTGCGGCGGCGGCGGCGGCGGCTGCGGCGGCGGCGGCGCGCAGTGGCGGCGGTGGCGGCGCGGCGGTGGCGGTAGCGGCAGCGGCTGCGGCAGCGGCGGCGGCGGCTGCGGCTGCGGCGGCGGCGGCGGCGGCGGCGGTGGCGGCGGTGGCGGCGGATTGGCCCCCAGTAGCTACCCATCCAAAGACGACTGCTGAGTATGCTGCGGCTCGGGCCAGGCTCGGGTGCTACGTATGTGTTGGGAGGGCGGGTGGGAGTGAGCGAGACGGCTTGCGGGCGGGGGGGGGGTCTTGACCCCTCCCCCTACCCCCTACCCTTGGACCTGGACGGGACGCCCCGCGACCGATTGGAGCGTCCAGGATGGCCATCATGGCTCCAAGAGGGCATCAGAGATCCCAAGATGACTTCCATGACGGCTCAATATTGCTCAAGATGGCTTCCAAGATGCTCCTAAGAGATTCCAAGACGTTCTCAAGACGGATCGAAGTAACCTCGGAGTATCCCCGAGAGAGCCCCCAAGAGGCCAACAACGAATCCTGGCGAAACCTAAGGAAAATCCGCTGACCCCTTGGGGTTCATCGGCGTGGGAGATGCTTCCCCCTCCCCAAACCTTCCCCATGAGCCGAATCCGATCGATTTGACGGGGGGGGTCTACCTGGGCCGGCTGGGGCAGGACGGGGGCTGGGGAGGGCATTTTGGTTCAGCAAATTCTGCCACGGTGGCATCGACGGCCTCATAGAGGGCCAGGAGGACCCCAAGACATCTCCAAGAAGGCCCCGAGTCGCAGAATCAATGCTCCAACTGGCCTCCCGAAAGTCCAAAAAGGGCCCCAATACGCCCCAAGAAGCCCCCAAGAGGCGCCCCAACAGGGCCTCCAAAGCAAAAGCCGTCCCATGCCCTGGGAAAACCGTGCATTCTTAGCACATTCAACTCTTGAGCGTTCACAACGTCCTCGACGGCACGAGAGGCCGTGACGATCGCCCCAAAGTGGGCCAAGAGGCCCCCAAGAGGGCTCCAAAACGACCCAAAAGGGCCCCAAGACAGTCCAAGAAGCCCCAAAGACGGCACAGGAGGGCCCCAATACAGCTCCAAGAGGGCCCAGAGGGGGAACCCGAACGGAGACTTCGAGTCACCCACCCCAAGACGCCTCCCTGATGCCCCAAGGAACCCCCAACAGGCCCCCAGAGAGCCCCGAAATGGCCGCAACAAGCTCCCAAGAGGCCCCCATACCCCTAAGAGGTTCAACAACTGCGTCCAAAACGCCCCCGAGACGCCTCCCACGAGACCCCATCAGCCATCCGAATGGCCCCAGACCCGAAACCCAGGCACGGTGGCGGGATGCGCCGAAGGCCCTTCGATCCGCCGCCCCCTGCTTGCAGGGGTGCACGGCGTGCTGGATGTTTCAGGTTTTGGTTTTGGTTCTTTTTCCAAAAGAACTCCCCAGTGGGCTCCGGCAGAACCCGCCGGCCACCCGGAAGGGTGCTCAACGACCGGAAAAAATCCTCCAAAAACGGCCGTTTCGCTCGGGACATCCTCAAAAAATCGCGAAGATGGCCCAAGATGGCCTCCAAGTCCGCCCGAGATGGTCCAAGACGGCCTCCAAAACGGCCCAAGAGAGTCCAAGACGGCCCAAGACGGCCCAAGAGGCCCCCCAGAGGCCTCCCAGACGGCCCAAGAGGCCTCCAAGAGGTCCTCCAGGAGAGTCCGAAGAGGCCAAAATCATTGATTTTCCTTGGTTTTTGAAGGATTTTGGCATTTGCGCCTTTTCGGCTCTCCGACGGCTCAAGACGGCCCAAGAAGCCCCCAAGATCGCCCAAGAGGCCCCCAAGAGAGCCCCCTGATGGCCCAAGTGGCCTCCAAGATGGCCCCTAGAGGGCCCCAAGACGGCCCAAGAGGCCTCCAACACGCCCAAGATGGCCTCCAAGACGCCCAAGATGGCCTCCAAGACGGCCCTGGAGCGCCCCAAGAGGGTCCCCCGTTGGCCCAGAAAGGCCCCCAAAACGGCTCCCGACGGCGTCAGACGTGCCAGGAACCCACCAAGATGGCCGAAGTTGGCTCGAAGCTGGCCCAAAAGGGCCCAAGAGGCCCCCAAGAGGGCCTCCAGGAAGGCCAAAAGATGCCAAAATCACTGATTTTCCCAAGGTTTTTGATGGATTTGGGCATTTCCCTTTTTTCGGCCTTCCGACGGCCCGAGACGGCCCAAGAGCCCCCAAAGATCGCCGAAAGATCGCCCAAGAGGCCTCCAAGACGGCGACGATGACCATCAAGACGCCCACGTGTTCCCCGAAGGCTTTCCAAACTGATTCGGGGAACACGTGGTCCGATGGCTTGGCAGGTCTGGCCTCAACGTTCGGCCACATAGGCGCTTCCACAAAGGCAGGGGGCGGCGGTGATTCGCCGTAGGCGTCTTCGATAATCATCCGTCGGGTGTTTTGACAGATGCCCTCCGTCTGTACACGTGGGCCCCACGTGTGGCCCAAACTTGCCAGGACCATGACAGTGCAGGCGCCGTTATCTGTTGCGCAAGCTACGTCGGGTGCGCTCACGTGGCACGATTCACAGGACAACAACAGAAGGACAAGGAGCGAGGGCCCAGTCTTGAGAAGGACATGGGGGCGGCTCCGCGAGGGACCTTGGGCCCAAAAACAGAGCGAGAGCGCCCGCTGTGGAGAATGCCAACACCAGGATCTGAGTCTGAGGGCTTCCTCCTCCCCTTCTTCTTCTTCGTCTTCTGTTTGTTATTAGTATGATTATTATTTGACTTATTCTCTTCTTCGACTATCGTTTTTCTCTTCTTCGACTATCGTTGCCCCTGTGCAACGCAGACTTCGTTTCGACTCTTCCTATTTCGACGATGGCGTGCCTGAAGGGCAATGCCTTTGCGATATCTACGTCCTGGCCTCGTCCCCAGACCCCCGACGTCATGAATTTGTTCATGACGTCGACCCCCAGCGGTCTGGACCCCTCACCCGGGACCGGTTTTTGCTCGTCCTGGAGTCGCTTTTTGACGGCCCCGAGGGCCAGGAAGCGCCCCCAGAGGCCGAACATGGAGAAAAAAACAAATAGTCGACTACAGGCGGATCTGAAAGGAACAAAAAAAACATTGACAACACAGGTTCCAAACTGGTCGAGAAAGAACCAAAAGATCATAACAAAACTCCCCGTCGTGATTTTTCCATGACCCGAGGGAGCCTGGGCCTCCTGCCTCCTCCTCCCTCTCTTCTCCCAGTGTCGGGCCCGGCGAAAGGGGGGGATAGCACAGGGGGGGGAGAATCAGCTCACGTGGCCGATTTTTCCGGCGCCTCCTGGCGCCGGGAGGCGCCCATGCATCGAGGAGTGGGCGCGGCGGCGGGGCCGAAACCAGCCGCACGCCGCAAAATTCTGTACCCCCCCCCCTTTCCCTATCCGGGGAGGGGGAGGGGGAGGGGGAGAGGAGGAGGAGGAGGAGGAGGAGGAGGAGGAGGAGGAGGAGGAGGAGGAGGAGAGGAGGAGGAGGAGGAGGAGGGGAGGAGGGAGGGAGGGAGGGGAGGGAGGAGGAGGGAGGGAGGGAGGAGGAGGAGGGAGGAGGGAGGAGGGGAGAGGAGGAGGAGGGAGGAGGGAGGAGGGAGGAGGGAGGAGGGAGGAGGGAGGAGGGAGGAGGGAGGAGGAGGGAGGGAGGAGGATGAGGGAGCTTTCGCTCGGCCCGACGGTGGCCCCTGCTCTCCCGAGGACCCGCCGGGGGCTCTGGCCCGCGCCGCCGTCGGGCATCCCCGGAGGGGCCTCGGGAGCCCGCGCGGGTCGGCGGAGGGCGCGGCGGAGGCCCCCTCGGGGGGCTTGGGCCGCGAGTGCGCCGCGAGCCGTCGCCGTCGCCGTCGTCGTCGTCGTCGTCGTCGTCGTCGTCGTGGCGTCGTCGACGTCGTCGTCGTCGTCGTGGCGTCGACGGCGTCGTCGTAAACGTCGTCGTAAGTCATCGTCGGCTCGAGACATGTCCACATAAGCGGGACAAATCGGCAGAAACATAACCTTTCGGACGTTCGCGCGGACTTCTTGGATCGGCGCGGGACCCCTCTGAGTCCGGCGCCGATCCAAGAGATCTGCGCGGACCTCCGAAATGCTTCTTACTACTTTTTGCGATTCTTCGAGTGTTCCCTGACGGGCTCACGAGATAGTGATGCAGCACTTACTGTCGGGGGGTTGTCGGGGGGTGCCACAGGTGTCCCTGGCCTAAGGTTACGTTGCCACCATCGCACGTAAGGACCACATCCCAGAAACAACTTCGAGCACCCAGACCAGTATCGAAGCAGTGTCGAACAAGTATCGCCTGCCCAGGGCCCGCCAAGTGAAAACCCTCCAGTTTCGGTACTTTCTTGGTGCTCGATGGTGATAATGACTACCTACCAGACCACCCTAACCCAACCCGAAGACCCGAATGTGACCCGAATTTCGGGTTGGGGGGGGTACGGGTTCCATGTGTTTTTTCAACGTTCCCCGACCCCCCCCCACCAGAAATGGAGGGCAAATTGAGGCCTTCGGGTTGGGTTGGGGTGGTTTGGTAGACGGTGAGATAAGGCTGAAGTAGGTTGGAAAATCATAGGCCTAAGGTGTCTCCAACTGTCGGTCCCTGTTGGAGCTGCGAGGGCCCTCTGGGCGTCGTGGGTGCTCTGCAGGCCACGGGGACTCCCTTCAGCTCCTGGGGGACGCCCTCGGCCGGGGACAGCGCTGGCGACCCCAACACGGGGAGTCTCCGGAGGGAGCCACGCAACACCAGACACATCAACTGGCGGAGGTCCACCCGGATCGCACGGATCGGCGCCGGGCTCCCTCTCTATGCGGGCGCGCGGAGCGCGCCAGGGGCAGCGCCAGAGGCGCCGCCGACTCTCAGAACCAGCTGCTGAACGTTTGGAACCCCGATCCCTGCGGCCGGTATGACGGTGCTCGGTAGCACCCACCACTCACGCAGGCTCGAGCCGTCTGAGAGAGGACATACAGTAGGGGCCTTTCCACAAGAAACCTTCCACAGGAAACCAGACCCTGAGACCGCAGGACGTCTATCGATATTTGGCGTGGGGACGTCACGCTTCCCATAGCAAAACCATCGAAAACCAACACACCCAGGGCACCCTGGAGGCAAGCAGGATGTTTCCTGGCATGGGTCCCCCACTGCATGTACAAACCCGAAGATGGTGCGGAAAAAAAACGGTTACGATGCTCAACAACACATGTTTTAGGTCGGGCATGTCCCCCTACAGTCGGATTTTGGATGAAAAATCATCTCCCCCAAAAAGTCAAACATAATCAAGCAATAATAGAAAAATCGCCCCCGACAATACTCATTACTATTCTGGAATATCCCTCCCGTAGAGGGATACGCCCGACTTAACACATGCTGTCCAACAAACCGACGGCGCCACTCTGCTGGGCGGTGGCGGCCACAATTGGGCGGGCGGCCTCCAGTCTCCAATGGATAAGGAGCCCGCAGGGGGGCCGACAGCAAGCCCTGCTCAAAGGGCGGGCGTGTCCTCCTACATGCGGGCCTTGGGCAAACATAAAAAACAAAAATCAGCACGATTCAAAGGTAGCCCAAAATACCCCAAAACAAGTCCCCAAAGTATCTTTTGACTTGTTTTGAATACTCCTCCTGTAGAGGGACGTGCCCGACTTCACCGTGTTCAAACATGGGCAGGAACGGCGTCGGTCGTTGCACCCTTTCCTTCCGTACTCACGTCGATCGTACCGGCCACACTTCACACACCTGCTCGAATCCCACCATCTCGCCGCAAAGGAGGGCTCCGACGGCCCGCACGGAAGCCCCGGCCCGAAACCCGTGGGCCGGCGCAGTCCGAAAGCCCGGGCGCGCTCACGAGGAGGATAAGAAGGAGGAGGAGGAGGAGGAGGAGCGCACAGGCCAGCGAAAGTGTCGACCTGATTGAGTAAAAAGGGAGAGTGGTATACGGTATGCAACAGGACAGAGAGTGGTACACGATATGCATATGGGGTCAAGAGCAGAGCAGGATATAAGAGGGGTTAAGACCAGGGTTGTTCGTTTCGTGCTCAGTTTGTGTTTCGCGTTCCTGTACCTGTTCTCCTGTACATCACAGCCGAAGGTCCAACAAAACAGCGGTTTTGGTCCAGCCCTGGCTAAGAGCGACCACCCGCTCGAAGAGTAACCTTAGGTCGGGCGTGCCCCCCTACAGGCGGATTTTGGTCGAATAATTAAAAATACCCCCCACCAGAAAAATATTCAAAATATGGCCAACGAATACTAAAAAATCGTCCCCGGACTATTGCTTTACTATTTTTGAATAGTCCCCCCGTGTAGGGACGAGCCCGGTCTAAGATTCGCCCTCTGGCTAAGGGGTCGTCCGAGCCGCTCGCCGGCCCGCTCGCGGGCCCGACCCGCAGCCCAGACACCCAGGGAAAAACAACTTCCCCCCAGGAGAACCCACACAAGGCCACACCTCGCTGGAGGTATGAGCTCGGCCCCGTCCTCGCAGGGTTCGCGAAAACAGGAGCCGCGGGGGGAGCCACATCGGACTCGACGCGGGTGGGGTCGGAGCCACTCTGTGGCGGACCAAGAACAGCAGACTGGACCAGTTCTGGAGGCTGGTTGAGCCCTGACTTCGGGCCTGAGAAACTGTGCTTTCATCCGAGAGCACAGACACGCGCTGTACACGGGGTCGCTTCCTCGCTGAATGAAAACCGCGCGAAATCCAATTCAACTGGCGTTCCCGCCGAAGCGATTCTTGCCCAGGCAATCCGACGCGAGAAGACTTCGAACCCAGTGTCCCCCAATGGCATTTATCGCCCCGCAGCTCGTGCAGAGCGCAAGCGCTCCGTGGGGGTGATCATACACATCAGTGATTGTGGTTTCTAAAATTGCGTGGCCTCGCGCAGGCCACACGTGAAGACTCGCCCAAATGGCCCGCGAGTCCATCGGAAACGACAGCTCTTTCGAGACAGCACTGCCGCCCGCCCTCTCCGCCAAACCACTCCCGCCACCCCCCGCGGGGAGGGGGGGAGGAGGACAAAACACATCAGAGAAAGGAATGGGGAGAACGTGACACACGCCTCGCTGTTTTCGGCAACTCGCCCCCTTCCCACCATCGCCGCAAGGGAAGGGGCGGGATCGAAATAGACCGACGTCATCCAAGCCAGGCCGACATCATCACCCTTGATGGGGTCCGAGAGCTCCGCCTCCATGGAGGCCGATAGTGAGTGTGCACATTCTCTGCGCCAGCTCTTGGAACCTGGGGCAGACCTGACGAATGTCGAGAGGAGCGCGAAAGGGCTGGCCTGGAGCCTTCGCTAGGCCGTCCGCCAGCTCGCTGCCCCGACGCTGCTGAAAAGTGATGGCCCCGCCGGGCATCCGAGCAATACTAGTGTGAGTCCTACATCGTTACTGTTGTGCTTGCCGTCTTGACGACCCTGAATCGTGCCAGGAGAGGAGGAGGAGAAGGAGGAGCAGGAGCAAGATTTCGCTGCCCTGACCCCCACAATTGCGGAACAAAACGCACCTCGGCGACGAAACAGAGCGTCTCCTACCCCAGCCCGTGCCTGGGCGACAAGGCTCGGCCTTCACAGAACGCACGCAGCTGAAAAAAACAACCGCCGCGTGTCTCACGGCGGCAGCGCGCACGCGGAAGGGGGCGAGGGTCCCCAGGACCTCCAGCGAGCCAGAGGTCCGCGGGCGCTCACCCCCACGGCCGAGCCTCGCTCTGGCCGAGCCTCGCCCAGATCGAAGCAGGGGAAGGAGGAGGAGGAGGAGGCGGAGGAGGAGGAGGAGGCAGAGGCGGAGGAGGAGGAGGAGGAGGAGGAGGAGGAGGAGGATACAGAGGCGGAGGCAGAGGCGGAGGAGGAGGAGGAGGAGGCAGAGGCGGAGGAGGAGGAGGAGGAGGAGGAGGAGGAGGAGGAGGAGGGTCCCAGAGCCTTTGGCGAGCCGGGCGCGCAGCCCCCACGGTGGAGCTTCATCAAGGGGACAGCCTACAGGTCGAAGCAGGGGGGAAGGGAGAGGCGAGGGAGACGAGGAGGAGGGGACGATCCAGGAGGAGGGAGACGAGGAGGAAGACGAGGAGGAAGGGAGGACGACGAGAAGGGAGCCTCACGGGAGGCAGAAGATCCAGCGGAGGAGGACGAGGAGGGAGGAGGAGGAAGGAGGAGGGACGAGAGTAGGAGATGGGCACGCACGAACAGGACGACGGCCAAAAGGATGTTGGCAAGAAGGGAGAAGAGGGAGCAGGATGAGGAGAGGAAGGAAGGAGAGGGAAAAACACAGAAGGAGGACGAGCAGAAGGTAACACAAACACACACAAGGAGGCGGCGGAGAAGGAGGAGGAGGTACCATAGAAAGGGATCAAGAGAGGGAAGGATGAGGATGAGGAAGAGGGTGAGCACACACACACAAGGAGGAGTGGGAACGGGCAGGAGTGGGACCTTTCGGCGCTCCCCGCCCCCGCCCCGACCCGCTCGGCCGCCGCCAGAGGGCGCGCGGCCGCTCTCACGCCCGCTGGTGCAGCTGGGTCTTGCTGTACAGCGCCACGGGGTGGTCGTAGGTTTTCTTCCGCATCCCCTCCGGCTTGTCGGACGGGCGGATGAAGTCGCCCTTGGCCACAACGGCCATGGTCCTGAAGCCCTGCGCCTGCTCCCGCAGGGGGATCATGAAGCGCGTGTAGGCCTTGATGACCTTGCCCATGGCCTTGTCGTTCAGCTCCTTCTGCCTGGCGAGGATGCGGGGGCACATCGCCTTGAAGAGGGCCTCGTTGCGTATGCCGACCATCGCGTGCGTGTGGGCCAGGCTGGCGAGGAGTTTCACGTCGACGCTGTCCATCTCCCTCATCACCCGGGCGCTGGCGATCTCGAAGAGCGTCTCGTCGTTGGCCTCTATATGCACCATCGGGTGGTCGCCCTTGACGATGTGCTGGCGCGCGCACCCGACGGAAAACAACAGGTTCACAAGGCCCTCGTGCGAAAGCTCCTTGTTCGCTCGCCGACCCTTGTCCGCGACCATCTCCGCGACTACTCTCGACACCAGCGGCTTCTGCTGCTGGATCGCCTCCGCTTTTGCGAGAGAGAACAGCACCTCCAGGATTAACAAAGACAAAGAATAATCACCATGCTTTCTCGGAGGTCCGCGCGGATTCCTTGGATCGGCACTGGAGCCCACTCCCTGGCGCACCGGAGGCGCCTTTGGGTGGGGCCCAGCGCCGATCCAAGAAATCCGACGGGCCTCCGAGAAATTGGCTTCATGCATTTGTTTTGAGGGCGCGCCGCCGGATGCCCCAAGGGGGTGTTTGGAAACCCCCCTCCCACATTCGCTTTCCCGAGCACGTCATCCAGGACCCCCCCCTCCTCCCCTCTCCCGATCCGTTGTCCCGGACCACCCCCCGCTCCCTTTTCCAAAGGGGTGGAAGGTGTTTGTACCTACCCCCCCCCCCTTGCACTGAAAAATCGGACCCCTCCTCCTCTCCCTTTGGCCACGCTGATCCCCTGGTTCTGAGAACCATAACCCTAACACCCCACCGCCCTAACCCCACCACCCTAACCATAACGCCCTAGCCCTAGCACCCTGACCCTGACAACCTTACAACCTAGCACCCTAGCTCCGTAACCCAACCGCCCTAACCCTAACCCTAAAAACCTAACCCTGACGCCCTACCCCAAACACTCTCATCTTTACACCCTGCCTCTAAACCTACTAACGGCCTTGTCTTACAATCCTACCGCAAACCCTAACGCCACAAGCATTACCCTAACAACACATGTACCCTTACAGTAACCCTAACACCCTAGCCCTACCACGAACACCTTCACCTAACTCGAACACCTGAACCCTAACACCCTTACCCTTCCACCCTTACCCTAGAACCCTCACCCTCACACTCGAACCATCGTACCCTTAGAACACCCTCACCCGAAGAGTCCAACCCTACGTCCTAACCCCTAAATGCCCAACCTTATCACCCTACACCATCACCCTAGCCCTAACACCCTACCCCTAATCCCTACGGCATTAGCCCTACATCTGACCCATCCGTCCTCGCCCGAACATTAACACCTAACACCCTGTATCCTAACACCTAAATGCTAACCTTCACGCCCTCCTAATCTTGACACCCGAATCTTAACAACACATTAAGACTAACACCCTAACCTTACCCCTTTAACCCAAGAGCCACCCGAACACAACACCACCCCAACCCTAACACCCTGACCCTCACACCCTAAAGCCCCACACCCTAATTCCCTTACCCTACCGCCCGAGCCCTAACCCTGACATCCGAAGCCCTAACACCAGAACCCTTACACCGTAACCTTCACACCCTACCCCTAACCCCTAACCCTACCGCCCGAATCCGAACTCGAACACCATGATCCTAACACCCCAACCGGCGCAAAGCATAGGAGCGGAACAGATCCCCCAACAAAAACCATCTCCGACGCAGCCAGAGTGGAGAAGGAGGGGTGGTCGAAATCATCCCCCCCTCTTCAGCGCAGAGCGAGCACACGACCCCCTTTACGACCACAGGGGCATCCGCTGGCGCTCTGTCCGATTCCTGTTCTTCGAGCCTTGGTGGCCGCGTCGGCCCGCCAGCTGCTCGGCTTCGCGCTGCTCAGGCTCTCCGCCGCGGCTCCCAGCAACGCGTTGCCATCGCCGCGCACCTGCCCGGGGCAGCCCCGGGGAGTCCCAAAAACCGTGTGCTGTGACGACAGACCTGGCGGTGACCTCGAACTCCGCAAAGGACCTCACCGCAGGGTCCGTCACCACACGGCGCTGGGACCTCGGATGCCCTAATCGCCCGAGCCGTCCTCGGAGAACGACCCGGGTCCCAAAGCCGTGCGGGGGCCCCGAAGCCCCACCGACTCACCACACGGTGCGGTCACCACACCCTCTGGGCCCCCCCGAGCCCAGGGCAGGTACGAGAGCGTCTTCTTATTCGGCGTCTCGACATTGGGCGGAAGGGGTGTGTGTGTGTGTCCCTAAAAACACGCGTCATAGCCCAGACTAGCCCCCTGCTCGTCTATCTTATCCCTTTCTTCCCCTTTGCTCTCCCTCTGTCTCTCTCTCGCGTAATGCCGCCAGCTTGGCCCAAGCCGGCTTGAGACAACTGGTTTCGGGTTGCAGGACCGGTGCTGAAGAGGGAGCGTACCTCGAGCCCTGCCGGGCTCCGCCACCAGCCCCAGCTGCGGGGCCGGAAGGTTCGCTGCTGGAAGCTACCCAGATCCGCAGGGGGGAGGGGGGGGGGGGGGGTCTGGCTCAGGACCTCTGCTTAGTGCGAC